GTCCTTCTTGCGGACCTCAACATAACTGAGCACATTGAGGGTGATCAGTGCAAGTTTGCCCTGTGGACTGGTCGTGTGCCACCGGTCAACGACGGCCGCCTCGTCTTCAAGGCTCAGAATCTCGAAGTCAAACAGGTACGCGTCTGGCCTTCACTTGTTAGTGTGTGCGACCTTCTATGAATATTCAGCTTTGTAAACACAGGTCCTGTGGGGAGCATGACTACTTCAAGTGTATTTATTCTAGCTTTTATACTCTTATTTCCGTCTTTCCACGTAGACCTGGGTTCGGGCGATTCGTGAGGCAATGCGTGAACGTATGTTCAGCGTGCAGAGTCTGCACCAGGATCACCTCTCCTCGCGATCGGGTGATGCTGCCAGCCTGACGCCAGACACCTTCTACATCCTCGAGAATTATCAGGTGAGTATTTGTTTCGTTTCGCCCCCGTGCCCCCTTTTTGGCTGCACCACTACAGCACTACTGCGTCTAACCCTGCTGGGTGAATTCCGGTGCGTTGGGCCGACTACCTCAAGAACCTGCTCAACTGCAGTATACCACGAAGCCAAAGTGAACTCCATCCTAGCGTCGTTGTCACAGCGTTTTGGAAGATAATTTCAGCAAAGTTTGTGTCACATTTAGCCCCTAAGTTAGTGTACAGTAGAACCTCAGTTAACCAGTTTAATCCGTTCCGGCACTGGACTCGTCTAACGAACAGTTACCAATCAAACTGCCTCAGTTCACTGATCGGCTGCAGTTGACCGAGGACTAGCGCCCCGAGAGCAAGACTCAACGGCGGACACAGGAACACACACCCTGACAGCTTGTTAACTGAAGGAGAACTTGCCAACCGAAACAAATTTTCTGCGAGTGGCTTGCTCGTTACCTGAAATGCTCTTAAATAGAGTTGCTTTTAATCCGAGGCTCCACTGTACCATGAAGACACAATGAGCTCCATCCTACCGTCTACGTCTTCCTAACGTCTTATAAGACAGTCCCGGCAAAGTTTGTATAGACATCAAAGCGAATATGCGAACTCCAGGAAGCAGTTCAAAAGAAAATGCGATCACTGGAACAAGAGTTTTGTTTTCCTGACGTTTCGGATTCTGTCTCATGATTAAGGATTCTCGACAGAATTCGAAACGTCAGGAAAGTAAAACTCTTGTTCCAATGATCGCATCTTCTTCTACTGACATCAAACTTAATGTAGTTTTAAACACGTACACTGGCGAAAGCGACCCACAACCTCGCCATGGTTTCATCGCTTCTCGTTTGTGGGTCTGACAATCCCCTGGCTATTGGTAACAACAGAGTTGAACACCCCGTAAAAGCCTGCCAGGATTGATTAACTACCTTCCGTTAGACAAACGCTGTACAAGTGCACGTTTG